GAAGGTGGTGAGTTAGCGCAGTGTTCCGGCGAAACCGATGACGATACAGAATCCGAGGGAGACGAAGGAAATGAGGGTGAAACAGAATCAAGCGGTAAGATTTCATTCAATCTTTTTGTAATATATATTTTGTCCCCAAGAAGATTATTACCATGTAATTTCGAACTTATATTTATAAGTTTGCATTTCAAATCCTTTTTAGGACACAATCAAAACTACTGCTAAACTAAAACTTTGCAAGTTCTAAATTAGCTATTTTTGCTTGTAAAATCGAGCTTGATAAACTCGAAGAAGTAACCGATTGGTTTTTAAATTGTTACATTTAACACGAGTGTCTTAAGCTATAATACTAAAGATTTATTTGGGCATTTTTCGTTGTTTACAGATACGGAAGCTTATAAGTCGCGGTTACCAGAACATGAAGCTGCACATTGTTTATTATCATTAGGAAGTTCTAGGCCGACTACTTCGGCTACTCCTGGCTTAATAACAAGTGCTAGACCTTCAACTTATCCATATACACCAGCTGGCCTAGATAATGTTACCACAGAAAGTAATCCAGAAAGGTCAAGTAATGCCCAAACTTCTCCAGCTGACACAAGATTGAGCACTGAAAATGAACCGATGGATCTCAGCAAAACCGAAACAAAAACAACACAAAATAACATTCCTGAAATACCAACCGCCAGAGAGTCTAGTGTTCTAGCATCCCTAGCATCAAATACTGCCAAACTCCCAAATCACCAGTCTCAATGGACAAATGGTGAACCAATGCTTCATACTTATTTAACAGAGAGGGCATTGCAGGATTCTAAAATCAAGCAGAGTCAACTTACTGGCAACTTAAGTAAATTAAGAAAGATTGATATAGAAAAATCAACGTATACCGACAGTTATTGTTCAATGGATAGCAACAATAAAATTGTAACATCCACGAAAAGTTCATTTATTACACCAGTTTCTTCGTCTCGTCTTAATTACATTGATTCTAAAGTATCAGAAGAAAAAGATAATGTTTTGAAATCGCCCTCTATATTAAGAGATGAAGTCTCAGTCATTAGAGAGTCGCCTGTGTCAACTAGTTCCGTCAATGAAAATAAAGCAACTCTTACACAATCTCACAGCAACGCAGAAAATGCAAAACACGTCGTTTCTGAATATTTGAAACATGCAAGAATAAACCATATTCAAACTCACGAAGAAAGTATACAAAATCAAAATGATGATTCAAACGACGACAACGTTTTGGTTATACGAGAAGATAATACGAAACAAGATGAACAATTTTCTGAATCGGAATCAATAAAACCACCATCTTTAGACCATGAACCTGTGGCAAGAAAAGTTGTAATAGGTGTAGGAGGTGTAGCTTTTAAAGTTACAAAGGGAAAAGATTTTGAAAACTCATCCTATTCACCAGGTAGATTAATGGAAGATGGCCGCAGAGTGTGTGATTTTTGTAATAAGACTTTCACCAAACCTTCTCAGTTAAGGCTGCATCTTAATATACATTACATGGAAAGGCCATTTAGGTGTAGCGTATGTGCCGTAAGTTTCAGAACTAGAGGGCATCTTCAAAAGCATGAACGTTCAGGTTCACATCATAACAAGGTGTCGATGACGTCAACATTTGGGGCTGCTACGTCATTTAATCCTAGACCATTTCGATGTTCTGATTGTAATATAGCTTTCAGAATACACGGCCATCTAGCGAAACATTTGAGAAGCAAAATGCACGTGATGCGGTTGGAATGTTTGTTTAAATTACCTTTCGGTACATTTACGGAAATCGAACGTGCAGGTGTAAGTTTGACAGATATTGACACAACAGACTGTGCAAGTTCGCTTGCTAGCTTACAATCGCTAGCAAGAAAGCTTCATGAAAAAGATCCAACAAAACTTGAGTATCGGGAACCCAATGGTGCGACGCACACAGGGTCTTCCACCGGCAGAGAGTCCTCGGACGAAGAAGATACTGCTGCTTGCGAAAACATGAGTGAAAGTGAAAAAGATATTGAAGGAAAAACTATTGATAGTAACGAAGGTCAAGATAAAGACATGAGAGTTAATTATAGTGCCACAGATATTTAGTGCCAAAATTATTTTAAGTAGAATATTTTAATGTGCAATTTTGTTTTGTTATTAATTTAAGGTGTAACTATTCATACTGGGGTTTGACTCAGCAACGTGTGAAAACAAAACGATGCGCTTTAATTATATAACTATATATCGCTGTATCTTAATTTGATGTAACTGTGAAACTATATATCTTGTAAATATCTCAAATTTGAATAATTTTAAATGTTGTTAAATTTGCTTCCATTTTAGGGCTTACATACATATTGTATTTGTTATTATAGGTAACTCTTAACTAGATTTAGTAAAACTATGAAAGTAATTCAGGTGGAAATTTGAAGTTAAATACAAAGCTACCCATTTTAACGTATCCAAAACATTCTTACATAAATATTTTGGTGGTCCATCATATTGTAGGTAAACTACGTTTCAATATCAATGACACATATTGGAATTTCTTAAATGTAGCAACTTTTATCTTGATAAGTACCATTATTACTTTTGTATGTATTTTTTATAAAATATATACTTGCGATGTATTTACACTGTGTAACATCTACTTCCAAATCTTTTATCTAAAAATAATTGGCATATCAAAATCCATAAACTAAATTTAGATATACAAAAAAATCATTAGTCTTCCATATCAAAAATAGTGCTTGACTAGATATTAAATTTAACAAGTACAGTCAGGATTAACTACGCCAATCAACAAACATACTTCCAGACTAATTCCACCACAAAAAGCTTAATTATATCGTGTTTTTATTTCGTTAACTTTCGGTAATTTTATACACAAGTTTATACTATATGTGTATATAAATTGTTTTGTAACTGTAGTATTTTTGTCTTTTCTAGCGTGGTAAACAAACCACGTCTGGAATGAGACAATTTCAAAATATACGAGTTTATACAATTAAAATGTAGGTCCACTTAAACTTTTACTATAAACGTAGATATTTGAATGTTCTCATATTGAACTGATGTAAATCAGGCATATCAAAGTTAACGTAAATAAAAATTAATGAGACAGCCATCAGAATAGGATTTTCTTGAAAAGGAAGCAGAAACTTGAAATAAAAGAATGTTTATGTAAATAATAAGTATTACTTATCCATATAGATAACCATATCATGAACCCTATTATATAGAAAAAAGAAATATTACAACTTTTAACTGTATAAAATGTTCGTAGTTTTCCAAATTAAAGGCCTATTTTAGTATAAAGGTACATACATTATTGTATAGATAATATCTTCTTTCCAATTTAAAGTGTAAGGGCCGTTATAAAGTTCGTAATTTTCCCAGTAAGTGTTGCCAGATTGGCACAATGCTATCGTAACTCACAATCTGGTTATATTTATTTACCATTATGTGTTTTGTGGTACATAACATACTGTATAAAAATATATGACTGATATTTGTTTAAGTACTATCATAGATACTACTAAAATATCTGGTATGCATTACGAATCAATGTAAGTACAAAATCTAATGTATATTAATCATTCTGTAAATTGTTGTGTATTGTGAAATGAATACTTAAAAAAGAAATTAAATAATAATATGAAGAGTATCGTAAGCACTTAGTGAGTGCGCTGGCATTGTGCCACAATATACTATATTATAGCTATTTTACATTATTATTGGAACGGTATGTTTGAAGGAAATGGTGTACTCGTGATTATGGTAGAACTATAGATATAATTTTTTTGATGTATATTATATCGAAAGGGGGTTAATTTTACTAAATTGTTGCAACAAATTTGTAATAAAGGAGTTACATAATTATAATACATTGAGTTATTTAAAATGCACATTTTATTACAACTATAAATTAGTGTCAAATCCCTTTATTACATCCTTTCTACTGATATAATAGTATCTAGATTTCAGCATTCTAGGATTCCTTGAAGCAACTGCAGTTACGAAAACCTATATGAAAACATTTAGCGTAGTCAGAATAACTAGATGATACCTAGATCCTTTTTACTATATAGCCGTACCTAAAATATTGTTTAGCAAATAGGTACCTACTAACCTTGTGAGAAGATTTTGTGAAGCTCTAGGTAGAGCTATGTCTTTTGTGATTAGAAAAGAAATAAAAATGCCTTAAAAACAGCAATTGGACAATATTGAAACACTATCACAAAAGAATGGAAATTGGTATCATAGTGACGTAACGGTATCCAGCAATATCAAATTACGACAAAATCCCAAAAGTGATTTAGTTCACACTTTAAGAAGAGATTTAATTTGTATAACATCACGCGTTTTATCCCCGAAGACGTAGGCAGAGGTGCACATTATACCACTGTACTTACAATGTAACACCTAATTTTTACTATTTATGTTATGAGTCCCACGTAACCGGAGGTAAGCCTATTGTTAAAATAATGAATTTTTATTTTTTTTAATAAACAATAACAATCATAAATTATCCTACTAAGCTTACTTCTTACTAATACTATAAATGCGTAACTCTGTGAGTTTGTGTGTACATTTGTTACTCAATCACATCAAAACAGCTGAAGGGATCGGGATGAAATTTAGAACAGGGATAGATTATGGTCTGGAATAACAAATAGAGCCCTTTTATCCCACGGGAAAGCGGGCGAAGCCATAGGCAGAACCTAGTTTTATACATACGAAAGTTTGTATGTTTCAATCCGAAATGGCTGAAGGGATCAGGATCAAATTTGAGACAGGGATAGATGACGGTCTGGAATAAGACATAGGCTACTTTTTATCCCAGGGAAGGCGAGCGAAACTTACTAAATATGGCATGACTGACCATTAAATTCTTCAGACAAATGCAAATCATATTGTTATTGTATCATTTGCTTTCCTCAAACATATAATTAATTTGCAAGTAATTAGTAGGTAAATGAAATGCAAGAATTTTAAGAAATAAAAACACATAGTCAATTTACACAACCTTATTATTTATCTTAAAACATATTAGGTACATTACAATATTTAGATATAATTAATAGATTCTTCATTTTTCCTCAGCGAGCATCAAAGACAACCACTGAAAATGGCAGTTAAGGATAATTATAAATTATTAAAGTAAGTATTATAAATTATGGACCAGATTATACTACACATACAGACACAAAATAAACCTACTAAATTTACCAAACTACAAGCTTCATGAAGAGCAACAGGTAGAAATGTGTATAAGTAAATTATATAATTATTATATAACTATGTTGCTGCGAAATAAGTTAATTGTAAATACTTAAGGATAATGTATGGGGTGTAAAGTTACAAATCTTTCAGTTAAATCTAGGACTTTTTTGTATGGCTACAGTCAGATACATCTGGCAGGTATACACATGTATTGCCTTGTGACCTGCCTATTGTATTAATTAAATAATATAAAAATTGAAAGAAAAAAGCATGCCATGCATTGTCTGTCAGTCAGTCAGTCAGTCAGTCAGTCAGTCAGTCATTCAGTCAGTCAGTCAGTCAGCCAGTCATTCAGTCAGTCCCTCAGTAACAGAAGCGTTTTGTGTATATACAGGATGATATTTAATTAGACCACAATCTCGTAGGGGGTTATAGAACAGATCAATTCCAACATATCTGTCAAACAAAAGTATAGGCGGAATTGAACGGTTATTAAAATATTTTACTTTTAGTGTTAATTTAAAATTGACACCCACGGTAACTCCAAAACTGAAAAAAAAAATACATTAAATTTTTTTAAATTATCTTACTAAGCAGTTTAATTACCAGTTCTAATCATCAAATACATAAGTCATATTATTTTAGACACTGTGATCCCAAATTCATGCAATAGATTCACAAATGAACTTGTGTACTTGAAATTTCAACATTATATGAGAATTGATAACCATTTGGGTAAAAGTTGTGAGATTTTAAATGTAAACTTGTGAGATGAACATTATTATTTTACTACCGTAGTGCATTGTTTGTCTTATATCTTTGGCATTACTCCAGGTATGTTAAAGTTGTATACGCTTCGATCAACAATAACAACTAGATATCGGGTCGGCGCAAGAAAATCGTCTCGACAAATAAGAGCTCACTTGAGAAGTGAGCTCTTATTTTGTTTAGTATGCTCCAAACACGGCCAACGTGCTCACGTCTCACGATGCCGCAGTGCGTAATTGCAATTTGCAAAAATAATAACCGAAAAAGCACTATAACGGCCGGAGTGTCTTACTTACGATATGTCCATAAAGTATACGTTATATTTTAAGCTTTTAAACTAGTAAATAATATCAAATTAGACAAAATTACCAATTATAAAACAACACCACCAATGTTTGTGCGTATGTTGGCGATCCCTTGGCCAAGCATCGCCAACACGCGCACAAACATTTGTTTAAACAGAACAGTGGATGCATGGAGTCGATTTGTATTGTAAAATAAAATTGTATTGTAACCTGATTGGAAAAGAGTACCTAACCTATGGAGTTTCTTGCTCGTTCCTCTCCATAGGAATCTACACCTTGGAATGAGCAAATAGTTCACTTTTAAATTTATATTATTGACGTTCAAAAGTGCCTTCGTGGTCTAACTGAAATAAATGATTTTGATTGAGACTTAAACTTTTAATAATAAAGCAAATAAACATATCGTACACAAAAACGTACCGCTAATAAAAATAAGTGATGTATACTAAGATCCCGAAATATTAATTTTCATAATTTATAAAATTATTTTAGTGTTCAACGCTACTCCATACATACCTCCTGTAGCGAAATTCGAAATTCGAAAAACCAAAACGAAACAAAACAAAACGATATAACATCGCAAGGTAATAACGGAAAAATTATCTTTATTTGTTCTAGCTTAAGGTTGTATTCAAACTAGATATTAAATAACTTATGTCTTTTAATTTCTACATGACAGGAGTAAGAAAATTCTTTTCTCGTCTTATGTGACGAATGGTCGTAAATATTAGATAATATTTTGACGATTTATGACTTTACTATTAGGTGCCATGGTTGTTATTAGGTTGAACTTAAAACTATTTTAAAACATTTTTTTCTGTTTGTTATCGTTTTACTATTATTATTCACACGGACAGAACTGGAGCTTGATTTTGTACGTAACCCTTTATCTAGTTGCTATTGTTGATCGAAGTGTATACGTCATATGAAAGCTTGTGCAATGTAGAATTTTTGTACAAAGCAAGAAGCGTCATTAGAAATGTATATGTTAGAGAAGTATATCTGAGTCAAACTTGAAAAAATATCCAATATTTTATGAATTTGGGATTACAGTGTCTAAAATAATATTATCACTGTGTATTTGATGATTACACCTGGTAAATAAACTACTTAAGTAAGATAATTAAAAAAGGAAAATTATGTGAAGCACATTTCTTTTTTCTATTTTTTTACTTTTAGAATTACTGCAGGCGTCATTTTGAAATTAACACTAAAAGTTTAATATTTTAATTACCGTTCATTCCCGACTGTCCCTTTGTTCGACAAAATGTTGGATAAATCAGTTCTATAAGGCCATACGAGATTGTGGTCTAATTACAAATCACCTGTATAGACAAGCCATGCTGTAGTAATAAAAACAACTGACAAAAATTAAGCAAGCTACCTGTTGTGTTAGTAGCTTAAATTTAATTAGGGGTTTTAGAGCACATTCAATGATAACAATAAAAATCCATGCTACAATTGAATAAAAGGTTGCAAAAACAAATAGTATAACAAGAACATTGTACTCACCATACTCCCAGAAAAGCAAATAAAATCCTCTAGCGCAAAACTGCAAACCATATACACCAAGCAAAGCATAATGTTTTAGTTGTAATAAATAAGAAGCTTTTTAAAAACATGAGGCCGGAAAGAAATGTTATGGATCATGCTAGGATATAGGTTGAATGGTTGATTGAACAATGACTTGAATGAATGTCTCTCCTTTTTTTAATAATTCAACATCTACAATGTCTATGAGATATCCATGGTAGTCAAAAGTTAAAATTTGATATTTAATTGTTGGTAAAATATGTAAGTACACACCCATAAAATGATTTTCACCATGCTATTCCCAGAAAATAACTAAAGGCATAATATTAATAAAATGAGATAAATACCTAAAGAATATCACAAAATTTATCATACATAGGTAAAATGCCATACTCAATGTGAAATGTTTTTATAAAAGCACAAACTACATCTGGCGGCTGCACCAAATAGCACATTTCTGTGCTTCTACCCTTTTGCTATCACAGTACTGTAAAGTAGTGACATCAAAATGACAAATAGGTTAGAATTGTGACTGCATGCAATTTAATTGACAAGACATAGTTTTCATCTTCCTGATTTGTTTACAAACATTTCACTTGGAATTTGGTCCAAGTACATGCTATATAAGTATGAAAGTTTAAAAAGGATACATCTTTTTGTTCGTTTCTTGTACATTATCCTGTAACCACACTCTCTGCATCTTATTGGGTCTCTTGGTTTTATTTCATTCTCCCGATGGCATTCTGTAAAAGTATTTCAATATATGTAATGATGGTACATGGTTTAAGACACAAGCTTCTTGTGCATGAGGGTGTGGGTTCGAAGCCTACCAACAGTAAGTTGGTAATGGGACTTCTTCCGAGTTATGTACTTTTTAAGATTATTTAAACACCCCTGACAATTGATGAAGGAAAACATTGTGAGGACACCTGAGTTTATTTCTAATTATAAGTTCGAAATCGCCAGCTCGCATTGACCATGGGTGGTGATTAATGCTCAAATCTTTTTCATATGAGAAGAGGGCTATGGTTGGCATTAGCACTGGTCACTTCCAGGCTGTTGATGTGATGTGTGATGGTATATGATATTTAAACTATCGAACTTGGATACATACGAGTTGTAACAATTTCATAGTTCATAATAAGATGCATGTTAAGACATGTAAGTACAAAATTATTCCTAAAATAAATAAACATTATACTAAATACGACACGTTTAGTATATAAAATGTAAGTACATGTTAAAATATTATATTTATCGGTATTACGATACACGTAATATACAATGTTGATTTATTACGTGTATTAAACGATTTTCGTGTAAATTATTATAAAACATAACCATAACTACAATGAAAACACCACGTTACCTCCACAAACATAAATCATTGGAACTTTAGTCACTGATGACTCCTTGTTACTTGAATCCGCCATTTTATATACAAAAACTTGGTGATATAACACACAAACCCCTTTTTTCTGATTTACACTTTTGCAGAATACGAAAATAATGAAATACTTCCAAATACTTCGCTTGCGCTGCGCTGGCTCTGTCCTGTCTGTTCAGTGAACTTCAGTGTTCTGTTGATTTGATTCGTTGATTTCAATTTCCCCTGCTGTCAAGTGTCAATGTCATAGAAACTTAGGTTTCTATGACATTGACAGGGTTTTTTTATTTTTTTTTCTTATTTTTTTTAGGGTTGAGGTGATCATAGAAAAGATGAATACATAATAGGGGTATGATCACTGACCATAGATGAATAATAGTCACTGACTCGCGTGTCGCAGAGTGTGCATACCATTTATTCATGAAAATAAATGAGGACGCCACTATCGTCCACAATTTTATATAGCAACCCCCCAGACTTAAAATATAAAAGCAGACAAAACATTTATACCTAGTTATTCGTATTATAATATACCTTGATTGTTTATACCATTAAACGTATAAACAATCTGAAATAAAATGTTGAAGTGCAGTGGATAGCGATGTGACAGCAATAGGTCTAAAAAAATGTCTGGAATAACCTTTCACCGGTAAATTTTTATTTATGTTGTTGTAGGCTTAATTTTGAAATAATTCAACTGTTTCGATGATGTGTAATCGTTTTTTTAAAGCCGATGGTCATTTTATTTGCCCATATGTTTACTTAAAATGCAATGAACAAATGTAATAAATAAAATTAACTTAATTTTTCACTCATGACAGCTCAAGTACTTATAGAATCAACGGAGGACGCATTTAAAATTTCGAAACGTTGAATTACTAAATATATTGTTTTCATATTGTGTAATACTAACTATAAAGTTCAAAAATCCAACAGACTTGTTTTTAAAATAGTTGTTGTTATGCGTGTGATCGTGTGATAGGTACCATGGTTGTGAACGTGTCGTGTTGGCAAAGGAGGCGGCTGAAAGGAAGAGGGAGGCGTCCAGCTCTCTCCCTTCTCGCCGTAGACGCGTCGGCCATCAATGCCGCGAGGTGGTAGCTGATCTGCGACCTCCATAGGAGAGACCTGCGGGCGACTAATTAGGGCAGTCAGTCGTCCGCTGTATGAGCGGGAGTAGGCGTTGGCGGTGTGTTCACGCGCGCCACTTCAGGAAGGAAATCGCAGCTTTTGAGGGCTACTACGTGGTGGGCGTGAGACCTGCCACAATTTAGTGGTAGGTCGACGCCTGCCGGGTGTGGTGAATCCGCAATCCGGGCGTCCCGGGTCACGGCCACAGGCAGAGGAGGCACACCGCAGTGGTTTTAGTCGGTAAGAGTCCATCACCCCCCCCCCCCCCCCCCCCCCCCCCCGTCGTCCACACGGCGTTAGGAGAAGTCCATAGAGGATATACCATGATTGTATACCTACTACGTATAATTTTTATCACAATTGCCTATTATGATCAAAGAATATTATAAGAAATTTACCATGACAAGGAAAGAACTTGTTTTAGGAGTAGTCAGAGGTATAAAATTAACAAGTGCCTTAATAAAAAGTATTATTGTACATGTTTTATTTGTAATAGCAATCTTTTATACATTTTATTTATACTTTATTGCACATGCAGAAAAAAAATTGTATATTTTCTATGTTATGAGGATATTAAAATTATTTAATACACATCTACGCATTAAATAAACTATATTTTATACAGTTTCTAAATACCTAGTTTTGGTGGTATAACTTCTTCATCTTGGATCCTGCAACTGTCACGTCATACTAACTTTTGGCTAGTTCTAATTTAACGATACGTGCCATTTTTTTCGTTGGCCGGCACTTTCATAAACGGCCTGAAAAAAATATCACCGTTAAATAATTCCGAAACTAGATATTTAGGACCTACATATATAAAATACTTTCAGAAAACGCTCAATAATTTATGGAACCGAAATGATCTCAGCATTTCCAGTAACATACATATAAATAAAAATTATCGTAAATATGGATACTTATAGTATTACTTATACTTACAGTATTTATATATTTTTTTTTTTAAGGCACAAGCCGGTAAACGAGCAGACGGATCACCTGATGGTAAGCAATCGGCTTCGCCCATGGCCACCTGGAACACCTGAAGAACATCTTTGGGGATTCAGGGATTGGGGAGATTGGGGAAGGGGAGGGTAATTGGGCCTTCGGTAACCTCACTCACACGACGAAACACAACGCAAGCGTTGCTTCACGTCGGTTTTCTGTAAGGCCGTGGTATCACTCCAGTCGAGCCGGCCCATTCGTGCCGAAGCATGGCTCTCCTACACTAGATTTTTTCCCAAAAACACGCTTATCCCTATGTAGGTACCTAAAAATATTCTTCATTTCTAATGCCGACCTTAATCCGGCTATTTTACGTAATGTGTGTTTTTGGCTGCACAAAGGGCATTGACTAAAATTGGTGCCTTTCTTTTTTCTAGCGGCAGTCGATGATTTATGAAAAATATTGTCTAGAATGATATTACAAACGAAATTGTCTATGGGCTCATATATGGAAATCTCAGTCTGGACTGAGTTATGAGCGTTGAAAGGAGCTGGAGTCAAACATTTTACATTGGTTTTTTTTATTCAAATTATTCATATTTTTGTCACAATTCCTAACTTCAAATTGCGCGCCACTGTACGCCGGCACAGGAACACCATATCACATCACAATATATCCATATTGCCAGGCTCTAATTTTTATTACCTATTTTCTCTCAGTCGATAACTTGTGGGATGCTTCTAGGAGTTGTGTCATGAAGCTTCATGAGCGTCAGCTGTGGTACCAGTGGTGGGTTGAGTAGTGGTAGCCGTCCAAACATCTAATAAAGTATTTTTTTTGCTGTTGACTCATATAATTAATAGTTAGTATAATCTTTTGAAGAAAGGAAACCCTCAACTTGATAAAGTGATGGACTATACGTCAGATGAGCGCATATTTTTTTATATAATGTAATCAGTCGAAATATAATCCATCACTTTGTGACTGAATGACGGTATCTTTGTACAGAATCTTATGCTAGCTGTAGATTAAAGTATTAAGAGTAGTTACTAATCGGAAGTAAGTCGGGAGAAGTAGACAGAAAAATAATGTTTTCGTGTTTTGACGACTGCCGCTACTTAATCTGCTACCGACGCCGCAACTGACAAACATAGCATTTCATGATAGGGCTCAGGAAAGTATTTTGCGAGTTTTAGACTGAGAGGAAATTGATCATGAAAATCTGCCATAGCCCATAAACCGTATACATATAAAGTGAATACGCTAGCCAATAATGGGAAATATTTTTTTTTACTTCCGCAGTGACCAGTTAATGGTTCACTATGTTCTGATTCCGTGGCCTCATAACAAAAAAATTAAAAAAAAATGAGTAAAACAGTCCACAACAAGCTTTATTATATACCTTGAAATCGTTTAATAAACATTTATTACAAAATATTTCTGACAAGTAAATGAAGAAATATGCATGTTGTGCACGGTCACCATCAACAAAATAACAGGAATAATATAGCACTATTTTCACATCTTTGAACTGGTTTAACTCGGTTTGGACTGTGTTTTTGATATAAATTTTTTTGTTTGTAATTCTTCATCAGTTTTTCCACATCCGATCAACTGCGGCGAAAAAATAAAAAGGCACCACGCTCCATACTTTGGTCATTGTCATTTAGCTAATGTTTGGTCTGCTTATCTATTGCAAGTCTGTGTTATCACTATTTTTGCAAAGAAAAACAAATAAAACTACACTTTGAGAGATGACAAGCTACATCGGCACTGTCATTTGTCAGTCAGCATTGTTAGAATTCAAATCTCTCAAATACATACTGTCAGTGTAGAAAGCGTTTTTTTTTATTTATTTTTGCCCTTAGTCCTTACGTACCAGTATTTGTGTGATAATTGTTTCAATACGTCTAAATCTTGCACTGAAAAAATAGTAATCAATATGAATTTCTTAGATAATTTCGATCCGGAAACTTCAGCTCGTGAAAGACGAAAACTTAATCGTAAAAGTTATTATATGCAGTAAGTACACGTATATTTAAAATGAATAAGTAAATTTTCAAAATTATTAGAGTTCAGTTTGGCTAGGTTTCTTAAGCGTATTGTATTGCAGTCATTGCAGTTATGGGAATTGATACAAAGGGCATAAGCGGACGTCATACTTCATACAAAACATTTCATTTAAAAAAACCATTTTAACCCATAGGAACAAAGACGAAGCCGCGGTAGAAGCTAGTGAGACAATATAAAATACATTGTGTGCCACTTAATCTATGTTATGGTAAATTATTGGCTTAAAGTCTATTGTACTCATATAGGTAAATATTATAAAAGAGATTCAATAATTGCATGTAGTAGGTTCCTAAGTATATAAACATATTTTAGGAATAGATTTCTTAAATTGACAAATCTGCCTGCTTTTTTCTTTTATTCTAATGAATAATAGTCTCTAACACTAGATATTGTGTATGGAAGACATTGCCATGATTAAATTATCATTTTAAATATCAACAAATGGTGATAATATAATAATTCTGCAGCCTTGTAAAGTATCGTCGGCAGAAGGTCATTCAAAATTGAAAAAAATATATTTATAAGCAACATGTCACTGGAAGGGAAGTTATTATATCGGACTTTTTACAAAGAACTTTATATAAAAACCAAAGTTTATCTATACATATAATAAAATTGTAGAAAAGTGCTGTCTGTACATTGAAAATAAAAATAAAAAAAATAGCAGGGGCTATTGTTATGTCGATGTTGAACCTAAAAATGTAACTAACTTTTTTTTTGTCTGTTTGTCTGTTTGTCTGTTCACGCTAATCTCAGAAACGGCTTACCCGAGTTCGATGCGGTTTTCACGAATATATTGTGGTATGCTTCAGTTATGCTTTAGTGTTTGTTTCATGTCAATCGGT